CATATATATATATATATATATATATATATATATATATTTTATGTATAAATATAACTATTTTATTAAATTCCATTCACGAACCTGAACTCAAAATATTCTCATAAAATTTGATATATTTATTTTATAAAATATATATTTGTCTCAAAAATATAAAAAATACAAATATTTTTAAATTTGCTTTATAAAAATAAAATAATTATTTTATAAAATGCTTTATAAAAATACAAAAATTTTAATTTGCTTTATAAAAATAAAACAATTATTTCATAAAATAAATATTTTAAAATCATCAAAAATTTACTAACAAAGGAAAATCTAACTAACAAAGATACATTGCGTCAAATTAATTTATTATTGCGTTAAATTAATTTATTATTAATTTACATGTTATGTTTCCAAATTTATAAACTAAATATAAACGATGCGAATAAGCGCTTTATAAAAGGATTATTGATTCGCGGTAATAAGTAAATTATCAATGAATTTAATATTATTTTAAAATGTGAATGTATTGTCCCGAGGGAAATTTGAAAACGCTTTGGGTCGGCAAAGCTTCTTAAGATTTTTTCACACAACATGTGATTTGCATTATCGGATTTTTATGGTGTGAACTTTCGTGCATTAACGTGATTACGATCGTCTCTTCCTCTGAGTGAGTTTGCATCTTGCATTAGTTGATTACATGCCTATATACTTACTCGTGATTTTGTGGAAATGGAAATCGATTGGAATTGAGGTTAAACGAATTTTACACGTTTCTATGTAAAAAGATTGTAGATAATAATCGTTAATATTTCGCTTACAATAACATCTGACAATAAATATAATATAAACAATTTTACAAAATTTTTATATATGTAAATTTTTTTAATAAATCGCGCAACATTATTAATTATAATCATATAACATAATAGGCTCCGCAATTAAATTCCTGTGTGTCATTGAATTTTGAATTTGTTAATAAGATTAAAGAATTATTAACTATTTTGAAGAGCTTTGAATCGAGTCATTTTGAATCAATTTGCTATTCCTATATCCAATATTGTATTGTACAATTGATGTGTAATTGTTAGTTTAATTGCAGCAAGCTTTAATCTTTAACTATTTATTGTAATAAATAGTTAAAGATATATTTATGTAATATTTATACTTTATTCACTTTTTCGTCAAAGTTAAGAAATAATATCTAATAATATCTTTGCATACAATATTTATTAATAAAAATAAATCATTTGTATTATTTATCATTTGTATTATCTAATTAGGTCCTACCCAAATGAATGAATTATTTTTTATATATTTAACAGATTAAATTTAAACTCTGCTAAATTAACTTTTTTTCAAGGACAAGAATAATTAAATTTTTTTACTGAATTTCTATAACATAAAACTAAATAAGACAACCACCTAGAAATTTGTTATATTTTCCAATATTCCTTCCGAACAAGTGTTCAAAGATTCATAAAGAAATATGCAGTAGGTTTTTTTTAATGCTTTGACAGATTTTACTCGGTGAAATGGATACGTTTCACCGTCAGAGTGGCATGTTGTACTTTATAAAATTTTAAACGCAGACGCCCCAATTTATCGATTGATATTAACGTGTACAGTAATATCGTTCTCTCTCGCTATTAACTATATGGAATATACATATGCAGTTAATTAACGTGGTTTTAGCTACGTCGGGATTCTCAGAAGATAATACGCACTTTCATTAATTAACAGCTAGAGCCAAGAACCTTGAGAAGATAATTAGCATCTTCTTGTTATGGGCCGCATTGAATTGAACGCATTGAATTGCATTATAATGTTGCGTCATAATCCATATAGTGCACATACTATCATTAAATAAGATTGATACGCGATCGATACACGTCCCTTTTCTGCTATTCGTCGCCAAGAAAATTGAACGTTGAAGAAGATATACGACAGTCTGAAAGCTGCGAGATTAGACATTTCTTATATAAGAGTAAAGCTTTTTACAACCACGATGCTGTAATACTTAATACAGACTTCAGCTCAAATTTCCAAATTATCGAGAGACAAGACATTACCATCCTTTCATATTTCTCCTGAAAGCTTAGCTTATCAAAAACCGTCTTTATAATATCTATCGTGAATATCTTCTTCAGTCTCGAGGCTATATTTTCAGTAAAAGCGATATAAAGTTGTTTTTATAGCTAATGAATGCATAAAGCTTGAGAATAATATATAAGTACTACCATTCAAGCGATAAAACTTTAGTAAAACGTTTATAAAATATTAAATCTTTATATATAAATGCAATTATTTATCAAATACTGTTTTACAAAATACTGTTTCCGCGATTAAATAAAATATTTAAATGTTATTATAGTTAAATCATTTAAAAAGCAACATTTTTGTAAATATTTCTCATCACAAACAAATATTTTCCAGCATAAATCCAACATGAGTTTATTACAATTATTGTATATGAGATATTTATTATTGCGCAAAACTGTAAGAACGTAACATTGCGTATAAACTGCTTTGTTTGAAAAATAATGTAAATGTATCGTTGAAAATTTAGCTTATTTTATAGATTCTGGCATCACTTAAAATAAAAATATCTTTTTAAATAAACAATTTACATGTTTCTCTCTCCATAAAAAGGTTATGAAAAAATAATGGTATTGAGCATATATAAATGCCACACAAAACTGAAAAACAAAATTCTCTTCATTACGAATATATATAGATCACAAGATTACGCAGATATCTAAAAAGTCGATCTGAAGGTTGAGCTAATATTCATGGAATTTTATTTGCTTTGCATCTCTTTTTAGGCAATCGAAGACTATCGAAAAAGTTATGAACTTTATTCATCTTTTTTCTTTGCAAAAAAGTAACATATGTGTAATATGAAAGATCAAATCTAGCTAAAGATATTGCGCAGTCAAATGTAAGATACACATTTGTGTTCATGCATAATGATGATATACGTACATACAATTCTTTCTCTAGAAAATAATTATTACGTCAAGATAAAATAAAAAGTAATTTAACTCATGGATACAATGTATACCAGCGGAGTTGTAAACTACTTATAACCAAGTTGATTTGTGTAACAAATACAAATATAAATATAAAAATCAAATTAAAATGTAACACTCCAATTAAATAATTAATATTTCAACAAATAAATATAGAATATCTGATATATTTATAAATTTAATATATATATATAAAACTCTATTTTTATTTTATATGTAAATACATAATAAAATATTATTTTGAAAAAAAAACTCTTAAGTACAAAATCTTATAAGATTTAAAAAATTTTCTTTCTCTAGTTCTTATTTAAATTATTGAAATAACCAACCCAACAATAACAATAACAAATAATATTCGAATAAATTATCTCGAGATTGTTTCGTCGCACGCTTCTCCTAGACATTCTCTTTTTCTTAGATTGTTAGAATTCATCGCATACAACACTCATGAAAATATAAATAATTATTATTGTATGCAAATAAATCAGAATACAATCAAATATTAACATTCGATATTTTGCACGTTATTGCAATCAAACCGGAACTTATTCAATCTATACGCAATCATTTCCTCCAAACAATTAAAGATTATTAACTCGCGATGTTAATAATCGAAAAATTCTTCGCAAAGAACGTTCGGATATTGTGTGATTAATAAAATCGAGTAATGACTTATTAAAACGCGATAGACCATCCGCAAATACATAACGAAATATTATTGCGTGATACATTTCGGACACATAAATTGAACCGGAAATCGCTCGTAAACATCGCAATGAAACAATAATTTATATTTTCCATTCCTTATCGCTTCGAGCTGTACTTCGAATGAATAAACTGCGCCAAATACCTGCTTGAATAAATAGCTATCGTCTCGATACGCTCACAAATCGTGAAAGTGAATCGATTCCGTAGATTGATAATCGTTAATTGTTTACAGAGAAGGATTGCGGTTTCCTCTGGTATCTTCCGCAATTGCGAAAAGTAATATGACGACATGTGAACTTCTATTAGAGTCTAGCCGCGTAAATGTTAAAGTGATTATAATGTTGTACAGCGTAATACAAAAAGTAAACAAGTTAAACAAAAGTTAAACAGCAAGCAACATATGTTAGCTGTTATGAAATATTTTTATAAAATTGATGTGCAACTTTCCTTCTTTTTAAATATCTTATTAATTTCTTAAATGAGCTACTTTTTTTATAGATTTATCATTGTCATGATCATATTAACGACATTTTCTCTGAATTTTAAAAATGTTTTAACAATTTAATGAAGATATTTCTTAAATTTTAATTTAAATATATTGCAATTTCATTATAATATGTATATATATCATAATCAAATATGATATATATTATATAAAATTATATATGCAGTACAATGGAACAAA